ATGAATAGCACACTCGCCAGTTGAATGTTGGTTTAGCACCAAAATGAAAATACATTGGTGATAAAATCGTCGGAATTTTTTGCCTCATTGGTGAGATTTGCTGCTCATCACATTTTTGAGATTCGCTTGAAGTGTGGAGAGATCTGTATCCTGTTTTACGTTTATAATAGAGAGATACTTGATTGTTTAGAGTCTGGTAAAAGTTCTTTGCACCATAGATCCCCTTTAAACGCGGCTTTTTCGAGCCCAAAATTGAATTGACCTATTCAGTTGGTCTCCAGTATTTTGACTTTAGGATACAATGTGGCTGGCAACTAAGCAGTAGTGTTGATAGGTCGTCTTCGTCCTGAATCTTCAACTCCTGGATTACTACAAGCCAGATAGCCTCCGCCACCCCCACCACTCAATTCTCGTCAATCCTCTTTAAGGATTCCTGTCAGAATTATAATACCACCCACGTCCCATCTCTGCCATATAATTCCAATCAAATGCTCAGGCAACAAAAAAGGATCTAGGTGCTTTATTTTTAATGCGAATTTAACCTTTGTCGCATCCAGCATTAAATGATTGGAGTCCTGCTGAAACTCTCTTATGGGATGGAAACTCATCCCTGCTTTCAAAGCACTTTTCCTACTCCAATTCATCCTCATGAGTTAAGGAGGCTCGCGTAACCCGTTTAGCAGATTAATGTGATCATTGGCCGAACGGCTCTTGCCAGAAGGTATTATCAGAACTCGATGAAGTTGAATTTGATGTCATTGCCAAGCTCGGGTGCATCGGCAAAGCAAAAAAGTAGAACTGAAAAAGGGTTCTCGGGGTATCACCTTGAATGTGTTCGTTTCTGTTGTGCCATTCCTAGATTACGAAAGCTTTTCAATGTTTAAGAAAATTAGGTTTAGAGGCTTTGCTATGTGCAATAACAATAATACCAATTCAATAAACTTTTAATAATGGACCTTAGTAATTAATTTCTCTAAATTAAAACAATTAACTCTGAGTTAATTTTATTCACTAAACACTAGAAGAAATGTTACAATATAGAGTATACATTTATTACCACAAAAGTAAAAATAGTATGTCCATTAAAATAACATTGTTTATTTTTGTTTATTATTGGTTTCCAGAGGAAAAATAGGTCTTCAGGATGGATAACTTCGTAATATATGAAAAAATTGAAACAATTTCATTTCATTCATTCATTTTTTGTCTTTCATGAGGTGTCGTTAAGTCGTTAATTGCTTGTCATCAATGCCAAGTATTTCTAAGTCCATTTTGCTCGATTCTTAATCAAAGTGTTTGTTAGTCTACATATCATCAACTAATGAGAGTCTGACTTTATATCTCACTTCTAAACTAAATGTCACTCAATGATAGGAGGGCATTAAATTTTCGAGCTTTCCTTTAATTGTTATGATGCCATTGTAATAAAGGTTTTAATGACTCGCATTAGGGTTTTGCGCAAATCGAACAAAGAAAGCATACACATTCCATAAAAGTTACTTCAAAAAATTTATTCTAGCTAACGGACACTTGAAGTGATCAGCCAAGATTGTATAAAATTGAATAAAATAGTTCTAGTTTTCATCAAACTATTTGAATTCGTTTAATGATCACATATCTTATCAATGGCAAAGTTGGCCCATAATAGAAGAAATTTAAGTTGAAATCTTAATATTAACCTCGCAGTTGTCTGCGTTAATTAAAACATGAACAAGTATCATATCAGCTAATTAACAGAATATAATCTAATATTTGGTATAATTCTGCTTAAAGAGCATTATTTAAATTGATTACTGGGGTAAAACCTTTCTCGAGACATTTTACTTTTAGGTTTAATTTTAAAACATATTGCATAATTATCCTCGATTTTTATAAATTTATCTTAACCATTGATCTTGGCTTGCCGTGGGAAAATCCCTTGGAAGAGAGCATTTGCTTTCAAACTAAGGAAAACTGACTCAATTTTAAATAAATATCATCTTAATGCAAGACCGCAGTTCCGTATCAATTTCTGTAAGTAAAGGAATAAAATGTCAAAAATAAATGCAATTTATTGTGCTGTCTTTCTGCTAAAGTATTTGTTTATTCATAAATAAATAACCTATCTATTTTTTAACAGATTAATCGTTTTTAATTCGATGTTGTTTAAATGTTCCAGTTACTTGTATATAAGCTTGCCTTCCCGTGCAGCATCCCTCTTATCTGGTTTAGAGATGGTGGATCATTTGATCGAGGACGGTGACTGTAAAGATGTAGAAGAAATTGGTTTTATTGATAAAGATAAAACCGTCGATGGCAGTGAAGATGAGTATCCTTTACTCACAAAGGAAGATTTGATGAGAATTGACCGCGAAAACCCACGTTGGCGTTGGTTCCGTATCTCGCTCATTGTCCTATTTTGGGTTGTATGGTTCGGTCTTATTGCCGTTTCTGCCATTTACATTACACTTACACCAAGATGTGCACCTCGGCCTGTTCAGGAATTCTGGCAATCTGGTGTCGGTTATTGGGTTAATCCTTTCGCATTTAAGAACTCAGGTGGTGATTTGGTCGGAGATTTAAAGGGCTTGGCGACCGCCATTGACTACGTTTCAGAAACTGTTGGCGCTGGATTTGTTGTTTTGACTTCAATGACACCATTTTATCCCAAGCATCTTCAAAATGATAGCCTAAAATCCTTTGAGCAAATTCATCCCAAATTGGGAACCGTCGAAGATTTCGAGTCTTTTGTGCGAACTATGAAAAAGAAGGGAATAAAGGTTGTTGTAACTCTTAACTTCAACTCTGTTCCGCTTCCTCAAGGTCGTGCAAACGTATCACATTTGATTCCCGCCGAAGCTAATGAGGTAAGTGCCAATGTCTATTGTCTGATGCTTTTTTAGTTCTGTCGCACAGGCACAAGTTGTTCGGTTTCGATTGGCGAATCAAAATTCTACTCAACTTTTGGTGCGGAATCAAATTCCGTGGATCTAAATCTAAAGGATTCTGGAGTTTTGGAGGAAATCAAGAATGCTACCAGATTTTGGTTGTCTAAAGGTGCTGATGGCATTTTGCTTGCAGATGCTGCTTTCTACGTTGGACAAAGAAATTGCTCTCACTCATCATGGTCCGACTCTTTTCCGGCTTGCAAGCTCTACACTTCAGAAACAATCTCGGTCATTCAAGAATTGCGAAAGGTTGTGGATGAAGAATCTCTCAAGTCTTCTCGTAATAGGTTCCTTATTGCTGACCCCGGTAATACCAGCTATAATGAAAATCCAGAACCACTTCTTGGAACTGAGGAACATCCTGGAGCTCATGTTGTCATTTCTCGTGCTTTTACCTTTAAATCCGCCCCTGGTGCTGATTTGGTAAATCGCTTCCATGAATATATGAATGCGTCTCAACTGGATCGACTTGGACTGATGGTTGCCTCTCCGAACGACAAACCCTATTCAGACATTTTCTCCGCAGCTTCTGTCTTACTTCTCCCTGGTACACCTCTTGTTTATGCCGGGATTGAGCTTGGTTGGAGCCCTGAGGGTGGTCTGCCACCAAATGAACTCTATCCGTTTGGTGAAAATCCACCAGTCGGGAGTGTAACCAGTCATTTACCTATGCCATGGGATTCTCGTGGTACAAATTTCTCTGATTACGAAGGAGTTGGCAAAATTTTCTCAAAGTACATAAACGACTTCAGTATCACGGAGACAGTAGAGGTATTTCTATAATTTTCATCAATTCCCCCTTATTTTATTTTGTTAATTATCTGCTTTTCTTTTAGACTGCAATGGCTGCTGGTCGTGGTTCGAGCGTTTTCGGCTTGACCCAATCTCTTATTAAGCTCCGTAAGAGCACTCCTAGTCTACAGTGGGGTAGTTTCAATTTGACCAAGGATCTTGCTCCGGTTAGTAGTCAATTGTTGTCAGGTGTTTTAACTGCCAAATTTCAATATCCTAACCCATTTTCGTTACCGAATTTTAGTCTGACTCATTCACTATATTCAAGCGCAGCGCGCCTGGTTTTGACAGCATTTTCGTTGTTATGGTGAGACCGGGTGCAGCGAATTCAGTGATCGATTTTTCGACCCACTGTTCTTCACTTACGCCATTGGTGGTTTATCCCCCTAACTCCGCGTTTAAACCTGAGGTTAAGATGTTCAGCTTGAAAGTCTACTTTGCTTCTACCTCAGAAAATAACCTCTATGTCTTCAGTTGTGTTGCTTGAGGTCTATCCTGTTTACTTGTTAGTTCTCTGCATTAGTAAAAGCCAATAAATGGTCTATGTTGATATTATTATCTTTTGCCCTATTTATTTTGTAGTAAACAATGAGATGTGCTTTAGTATGGTTAAAAAGCCTAGTTCTGTTTGGGGATATCCTTTTTGTTGGAGTCGCATTGATGTACATATTCTAACTTTTCACTTAGTGTATTTACAGTAACCAAGGCCTAATATTGATTGAAAGGTGTGGGGAATATATGGATTGTTTGCTAATCGTTCATAATGGCCTCAAAAGCTGTCGATGTTCCATCGGGCAAAATAAAACGTCTGTGGGAAGTTCAATTTGACTTTTCTTATCTGCTTTTTTCGTCAAACATGACATGTTTACTCACTTTCCATTAGCGTATGAGGTAAGCCCTTCGAATAGAGGATTGATTTAGCTAGGAGCGATCGAATCGAATTGGGCAATAAGTCAATAGGTTGTTTACTTACCTCGTGAGAATCAGCTGTTTCATTAGTCTAGGAATTCGCCTAACTAAATTACTTCATAAAAGTGAATCCGGGTTGCTGTATGGAATCGATTCATCATTATAATTTTATTAGGGCATGTAAAGTGCTTTACAATCCCATGTGATTTTGACAAACAACAGCCTAATATGAACTCGGGGAGATTTTAGTCGTTTTTTATCCTGGTAGTGTGTAGAGAACATGCCTCAAACTTACCCGGAGCAGTCATAACGCACATATGCGCTAAAAACCTACTGAAAATAAAATTTAGCAAAACAATGTGGGGGCGCTTTATTGCGAAAAGGTCTTATGAGATTTGCCGGGGGGGGGGTTTAACCTTTAATCCGCTCAATTATTATGGATAAACAGTGAGGCTTAAGTCCTTTTCGGCTGACGTTGTTCAATAGATGACGTGTTTCCATCCTCTCACCTCATTTATCATTCTACTTTGCCAGACTCCTGATTATGCTTTCACGCTGTGAGCGCATGCAAATTGACTAGTACGTGCCAAATAAGATAAAATGTCATGAAAGGTTAGGTCTCTCTGTCTAATCTCCTGGTTTCAAACAGACTTCTAATTTGAGCACTGAAATGGCAATCAGTAAATTTACAGCGTGTAGAGGATTGTCACTCTCACAAGCCTTGACTATATCCAGTATTCTCAATGGCAGATTTTTCTAAGTATTTATTTATTTATTTCAAACGGCAGGCATTTTGATAGTTATCATTAGCCCTTTAGGTGACTTCTGGCTTCACAGGGGGAAGGAACATCAATGTCACCAAAAAGGAGAGGGGGGGGGGAATAGAAGAGTGATTTACAGTTGTAAAAGAGACAGACACAAAGGGAGAGTAAAGGTTATGATGAGTACTGTGAAAGTGATAGAATATGGCATATAGTGGGGTCGTGATACCGTTAAAGTAATAGAGTGGGGTGATGGTAGTTTGAAGTCAGAAGTCAACTGCCGATCAATAGACTTTTTGCAAGTCAGAAGTCAACTGCCGATCAATAGACTTTTTTGTCTTTGAAGTCAGAAGTCAACTACCGTACAGTGGGGTCATGGTAGTTTGAAGTGAGAAGTCAACTGTAGGTGAGGTGAGTACTGTGGAAGTAGTCGAATATGACACAGTAAGGTAAGATGATTACTGTGAAAGGGGTCGAATATGACATAAGTGAGGTGATGGTAGTTTGAAGTGAGAAGTCAACTGCCTTAGTCGAATATGACATACAGTGGGGTCAGAGTCAACTGAAGGTAGAAAAAAGGCGAGGTGAGTACTGTGGAAGTGGTGAAATATGACATACAGTGGGGTGATGGTAGTTTGAAGTCAGAGGTATATGACATACAGTGGGGTGATGGTAGTTTGAAGTGAGAAATAGGTAGAAAAAAGGTGAGGTTAGTACTGTGGAAGAAGTCGACAGTAGAGCAAAGGTGAGGTGAGTACTGTGGAAGGGGTCGAATTTGACATACAGTGGGGTGATGGTAGTTTGAAGTGAGAAGTCGAAGAGAAAAGGTAAGATGAGTACTGTTGAAGTGGTCGAATTTAAGAAAAAAGGTGAGGTGAGTACTGTGAAATGGTCGAATATGGACAAAGGTGAGGTGAGTACTGTAAAAATAGTCGAATATGATATAGAGTGGGGTGATGGTAGTTTGAAGTCAGAAGTCAACTGCCGATCAATAGACTTTTTGCAAGTCAGAAGTCAACTGCCGATCAATAGACTTTTTTGTCTTTGAAGTCAGAAGTCAACTACCGTACAGTGGGGTCATGGTAGTTTGAAGTGAGAAGTCAACTGTAGGTGAGGTGAGTACTGTGGAAGTAGTCGAATATGACACAGTAAGGTAAGATGATTACTGTGAAAGGGGTCGAATATGACATAAGTGAGGTGATGGTAGTTTGAAGTGAGAAGTCAACTGCCTTAGTCGAATATGACATACAGTGGGGTCAGAGTCAACTGAAGGTAGAAAAAAGGCGAGGTGAGTACTGTGGAAGTGGTGAAATATGACATACAGTGGGGTGATGGTAGTTTGAAGTCAGAGGTATATGACATACAGTGGGGTGATGGTAGTTTGAAGTGAGAAATAGGTAGAAAAAAGGTGAGGTTAGTACTGTGGAAGAAGTCGACAGTAGAGCAAAGGTGAGGTGAGTACTGTGGAAGGGGTCGAATTTGACATACAGTGGGGTGATGGTAGTTTGAAGTGAGAAGTCGAAGAGAAAAGGTAAGATGAGTACTGTTGAAGTGGTCGAATTTACGAATATGGCATAGAGTGGGATGATGGTAGTTTGAAGTCAAGTAGTCGAATTTGACATACAGTGGGGTGATTGTAGTTTGAAGTCATGTCAAATGCCGGTTAATAGACTTTTTTGCCGTATGAGAATGTAGGACATATAGGGGGGTCATGGTAGTTTGAAGTGAGAAGAAAACTGCCGGTTAATAGACTTTTTTGCCGTATGCGGAGAAGTCAACTACCAGTTAATAGACTTTGCCGTTGAAGTCAGAAGTCAACTGCCGGTTAATAGAATTTTTTTGCCGATAGTGAGAAGTCAACTGCCGGTTTATAGACTTTTTTGCCGCTTTGAAGTCAGAAGTCAACTGCCGAATAATAGACTTTTTTAAGAAGTCAACTGCCAGTTAATAGACTTTTTTTGCCGTATGGCCGTATGATTATACGTTGCCCAGGGTGCACCACGTGGAGGTAAGTCTATTGAAAAACGAATGCCGAGTGATAGAATTTTTGCCGTAAGAAAGTACGTTGCCCAGGGTGCACCACGTGGAGGTAAGTCTATCGTAGTTAACTGCCAGTTAATAGACTTTTTGCCGTATGAATATAACGAAAGCCGAGTGATAGACTTTTTTGCCGTAAGAAAATACGCTGCCCAGGGTGCACCACGTGGAGGTAAGTCTATCGCACACAAACTTCCGGTTAATAGACTTTTTACCGTATGAGTATACGTTTCCCAGGGTGCACCACGTGGAGGTAAGTCTATCGCACACCCACCAGGGTGCACCACGTGGAGGTAAGTCTATCGCACACCCCGAGAGAAGTTAACTTAATTGTCAGTATTTTATTGGATGAATTTAAGTTTAACTTTTTAAACAAAACGCAGTGTTTTGGAGGACGATTTGTCTTGCTAATAATTTGGGCGAAACTGACTCACACGTGAAGGGAACAAAACGTTAACATGGCTGAAGTAACTAGGTGATTGAGCAATCAGACATTGAGGGACGCTGCGGACGTGTTCCCACCAATCACACAAAGGAGCCAATGAAGTCCCTACTGCAGAACCCCTCGACCAATCAATAACCAATAGTCATTAGAATGTTCTCGTTCCCAACCAGTGTGTAATGAGTCTGCTCCATGTCATGGGCCACAACCCAAGTAAACGTTTTCCACGCCATATGCTTGTTTTCTCCTGGGAACCCTTCCAAACTAGGAGTTCTAGCAACATAGTTTACTGAGCACAAGCTAAACTTTATTAAAATTGCAATCCGAATGTACGGTGATAGATGCAAACTTAATTCCAATGGTTTGAGGAGCTGTCGTCGTGAGAATTGAATATTTGATAAGATAAATTTTATTTTCTACAAGAGTTATATAATATATGTCTAGTTACTGTGGGGTGGCGTGGCTGGGAAGGGGGAGGGATTAGAACTCGCGTCAGAGCATCGATTTTGTGGGACACGTTATCGCGTTGTGCGTCATCGTATGCCTGCATGTCTGCTCGCCAGGATTGGGAGGTGCGGCCGTACAACTCTGTGTGCAGCGACCGTACAAACAGTGACCAATCATCAACCTCTGCGTAACCTAATCCCCCATCCTGATCATGAGTAGCTCCCCGCGTGTACGCACTTTTATCCGCAATACCCGTACTGAATAAACGCGCTCCGTGCTACACGTCTGTTTTCTTTATAGCTGAGCTATAGCTTAGCTGTTCTGGGAGTCTAGCTAGGTGTTGGAGAATCTGCCATAGAGATTTCTGAGTTAGTCAGGTTTTACTAGCGTAGCAATCCGCTACAATTTCTTGCGTCCTATTGGCTAATTCTACCCATTTGTCGAGGTTAGTTCCGTAAGTTCTAGTGGTGAGACACGCTGCCATATTTGCAGAATGACTTTTCATCCATAACGCTCTCAGAATTAATTCGTCTAGTTTGCTTCCAACTGCCTGAACCGGACATTTGCGTTTCTGGGAGCAACAATCGCATTCACATAAGGATCTTCTTCGATGAGTATTATGAGACAGTAGGGGAGGACAAATGGAGTGCCTTGACGCAGAAAGTTGAAGAATTTTCACAAATTTATTTATTTTTTTTATCTCAAATGGCAGGCGTTTTGATAGTATTCATTAGACCTTTAACCGACTTCGGGCTTCACAGAGAGAAGGAGGAACATCGAAGTGGCAAAATGTCGAGCGGGTGGGGGAACAGAATAATGATTAACAGATGTGAAAGAGACAGACACACAAAGGCAGAGAAAAGGTAAGATGAGTACTGTGAAAGCGATAGA